CACCAGCACCCGTAGTTCAGCTTACACTTTCATTAGTTGTAGTTGTCTATTTCTCTTCCAAGCTCTATCTCCCCTGAGGAGTAGTTCCACAACGCCAGCGCTAGCCCGCTTCCACAACATCCATGAAAGTAGAGTTTGAACCGGAAATCTAGAGAAAAGGAAGGTATTTCAAAAAACAAGACAGAAGACAAAGAAGAATAAAAGAAACTTACCCAGTTGAGATTCAGTCTTTGAATGGACAACTTGAACATTGGAATTTGAATTGAGTGAGCTTGTTGGTAAAGAGCTTGATTGAGGCCAAGAAGAACTTGGCCATGTGCCAATATCCATGGCCAGTCAAACCCTGCTGATCAAGCCCCCATAGCACATATCCAAGCTTGTATGGCACTGCGTCAAGTGGGACTTGGATTTGTGCCACAAAAAATTACTCAAGTCAGCAGCATCCAGGGCCCAGGTTCTATGGGAGATTAATTCTTTTACCGCAAAGCCCAGTAGAAAAAAATCTGAACTTTTACTCTTTTTGTAGTTCATGATTTTTTTTTCTTTTTTTTTCAATCAGGCTCCAGACACCAGTAATGTTTCCATGGCACTCGCATGCAAGTGCTTTCTCTGAACTTGTTCATTTAATTAGCTGATACCTGTTGTGTGTTGGTTGTAAGCTGTGCACAAGTTTAGCCTTATTTTTGGTGAACTTGGTCCTAATTTCAGTTGATATTCTCTTCAATTCAACAACAAATCTTTTGTAAATGGGTTTTAACTTGGCTTGATGTCATGTTTAAAGAATTTAAAACCCTCTACCAAGATAAAAAAAAACCTTTGGCTATGATGAAATCACAGTGCTTTGATGAATAGCCATTTGATTATGTAAAGAATGTTGTGATTCTTTACTGACCTGTTATTATCTTGTAACACCCTTTGGGACTTGTCAGGGGTTTCACCAACTGGGGGATTATCTTCAGGCTCTGCACCTTTTTACATCCCCCAGTTAGCACTATCTCAATCATAACATGACCCTTGTGCTAAGTATTCCCTTTCACCCTAAATTATGGTCATATTTTGTGGTGAAAGGGAACCAGATGCAGGAAGAAGGGTTTCATCTCTGTTATTCAAGCAAACAAAAATTCAAAAACTTGACACAGTAGCCTTGGCAGATTTAAAGACAGGCTTGGGGGAGAGTGGAAGCAGGAGTGGCTCATCTTCT